CAATGAAAATTCCTGAGTTAGGGTAAACAATTTTGCTGTTATAAAATACAGATTTAGACCCTTGCTGACATTCTGAATTCTTGAGGACTTCTGAATCCTGCTCAGACCATGAAATGGTTGTTTGAGCTGCTGTTGTGCAAGCAAGCCTGCCTGGTAAGACCTGGCCACAAAATATCTTCCTTGCAAAGGAATCTCACCTCCACTGCACTGCCTAAAGGACCACCACTGGAAACTGGATTAACACATTGTATCAAAGAGAGTCTCCCAGCTAAAATATACCTACTCTTGAGGAAGGCATTAACCACCTGAGCCAGGGATGCCTTGCCTTGAACTTATTTCAGAATTCTAAGTAGCTGGAAGAGGCAGGGTGGGGGTAGAAAGAGCCTAGTCCAGACAGCCTCTCCTAAGGAGAAGTTGCAGAACCTGGAACCTGAGGACAGAGGGCTCTGCCTCCTCAAGAGCCAGGAGCAGCTCCCACAAACCCTTTTCTCAGCCATCTCATGGAAGTACCCACTTCAACAGTTGTCTTGACCTTGAAATCAGCTTAGTGGCAAGTGTGATATCACACCACAGAAGAATGCTAAAGGGCAGGGGCCTGGGAAGAGGGGAGGGAGGAAGGGTTTAAAAAAAAAAACTTAAAGCCCCACGAGGATGAGGACTGGTACCAAGGCACAACAAAGCAGGAAGAAAGCATGAGGCAAGGATGGGATGGTCACAGTTTTGCCTGGAACCAATTCTGGAGGAATCTCAACTCATACTTTTTGTTTTTACTGAAGACGGTGTGCAAAGTTGGAGCTCAAAAGTCTCAAATTTATGGACAAATTGAGCTTTCAAACCCAGAGGGTGAGTGGCTCCTTATGGTGTATATACACCAGAGGCCATTTGTGGGTGCTGTGTTAGGACAATAGGATTCCTTTGAGAATTTCAGGGGTGAAAAATAATATATAAAAACATTTATTGAGTGTCTACTACCTGCAGAGTGTTACAAAGAGCTGAGAAGAGATTAAAGAATGGACAGAAAAAGAGGAAACAACCCGAATGTCCACAGCAGATGAACGAATAACAAAATATGGTATATTGGTTTTATAGAACATTGCCCAGCTTTACAAAAGAAAGAAAATTTGATATCTGCTACTGCATAGGTGAACCTTGGAGACATTAACCTAAACCAAGCCAGCCACAAAAGGTGAAGACTGTATGGCTACCCCTTCAGGACTGGGGCTGGGCGGATGGAAGAATGAGGAGCTATTGTTCAATGCATACAGAAGGTCAGTTTGTGATGATGGAAACATTCTGGACGGAGTGGTCACGGTCGCACAATGCAAACCTACTGAATGCCTCTGAATTGGACATTCTAAATGGCTAAGATACTACACTGTATGTTGTGACTATTTTACCACGCCCTCAAAACACACAAACAAAAAATAAAGAACAGTGCCCAGTTGTTGATGCAGCCACGGGGAAGGACAGCGCAGGAAGAGGAAAGAAAGCCCAAGGCAGGGACTGCAGGCATCCCTCACCTGCGGCTGGAGAGCGCAGGAAGCACTCATCTTTATTAGCACCGCTACCCACGAGACCGTGAGAGCGCCAGGCATGGAGCAATACCTTAATTCAGGTCTACAGAAAGACTCTTCGGTATCCCCGGAGTTGGAAAGACGTTCATGTTCACGCCCATGGGTAAACTCTCCCGAAGCAGTTCGGGTTTCTGCCTCCTGAGTCCCCACCTCCAAGTCTCTACTAGTCTTCGCCCACCGAAGAAGATCCCTGAGCTGTGGCTCAAGAGACAAAGGGTGGACAGCCACGAGCGTCGCGCCGCCTCCTTGGCGCCTGCTGCGCGGAGTTTTGGGGTCTCCAGCTGTGTGCCACGGGCGGTTCCTGGAACTTCCAAACAGCCTGCGGGGAGAAAAACCTGCAGCCAAGGAAACGCATCTGTGCCGCCCAGTCTCGGCCTCCCCAAACCCAGTGCTAGGCACGCTCGGAAACCGGCAGGCTACACTCGCCAAACGTCACTGCTTGGCGAATTCCTGGCGGGACTGGGGGCCCCCTGGGCGCCTCGGCCTGTGCTCAGGCCAGCTTGGTGCCACGCCGCCGCCAGGGGGCAGCTCTGCCCCGCGAGGGCATCGCAGGGACCCGACACCCGCACTTTTCGCGGCCACGCGAGCAGGGCGCATTGGGAGGGGAGGTCACCAACCCACTTTCGGAGAGGTTTCTGTCCTTTATACCAGTTCGAGAGGGATGGGGAGCAGGTCCTGGTAAGGGAACAAGGGGGTGGCACAGGGACGCGCGAGATGCGAAACGCTTGGGTTTCTGTGCTCTCTCGCTAGCTCGCTTGGGGAATCTCATGAGCGTAGAGCTAAAGGTCTCACACAAATGCGCAGCTTAACTAAAGCAAACAAATCTAGCGGAATGCCCAAGGGTGGAGCTTTAGAAAAGCTCGTCCAAATCTCTATTAACATTTTCGTCCCTGCGCGGTCCCTAGGGTTGATCTTCCGCTCTGACCTTAGTAAATCCCACGTTTCCCCCGGAGTGGCCAGAGGTAATTTGCCACGTTTTTCAAACGTTCCTTAACCCTTTGAAGAGGGGCCTGCAGACAAAGTTACAAACCGAGCGCAAAGACTTACTTCCCACGCACTCTTAGGTAAGTTCAAGGCGATGGAAATCCTAAACAGAATGACAGCTGTAACTGACCATCTAAGTAATTAATGGTCTGTGAACAAATTCTTCCTATTTCATCTTTAAATACTTAGCTACATACCAACCCTCAGCGCTGCGAAAATCATGGTGTTTATTTAGATACCGACTGAGTACTTATAAAACTTCAACCTTTCGATGTAAAAGTGAACTCCTTAGTAAGGACTCCTGTCTACATCAACAAAGCAGCATGATGCCTGATTAATAGTGCTGATTAATGTTGGCTCAGGTTAATGCGCAGTCCATTACAATAATTAAATGGTTCAACCATACATCAAACGAGAGGCAATGAAAAATAATTTATTTAGAGCTTTGAGGCATTCTCATAGATCTTTCAAAGATCTATAATAGACTTTCTGGGTCATTTGTAAGTGTAATTCGTGGTAGCCATACCCAGGAACAAAAACCCGATTTAAAAGGAAGTCTTAGAAGGAGGAACAGTTTATTTTTGAGGCTCTGTGATTGATAACGGTTGTAACGAATGGTTTCAAAATGTCAGAAGTACTTGGTGGATAAAGTGATACACACCAGGGTAGTGGTTGTTCCTACAGAAAGTCATTCAATTTGTACTCCTGGTTCTAGTCAAATGGTCATTTTCATCAGAAAGGTAAACTTATAGAGCAAAGTTCCTCACCCCCTTTGAAATGTGTACCCTTAAAAAACAAAAATAAAAACTTGTGCGGTGCTGGGGATTGAACCCAGGGCCTCACCCACGCTAGACAAGCCCTCTACAACTGAACTAACACCAAGGTCCCTTCTTTAAAACAGAAGAATTTCAAGAAATACAAAAATTCCACAAGCTATTAGGATTTTCCACTAACCCAAATAATTAAGTTGGTGATAAAGATAGGTGTCCTTAAGTGAACACCATATTTGAATAATTTCCACTATCTTGTCACCTGAGAAAGAAAAATGAATGGAATTTGAATCTTACATAAAATTTTTCGTTTCTTTTCACCAGATGGTACTGGAAATATTGAATGGATTTTCCCCGAACACATTTTTTTAAGTTGTAGTTTCTATTTTTAAATTCTGCCTCAGTAGAAATATGTGTGTATGTTACAGAATTTAAATATTTTGAAGTTTCTGCGGAATGCTGCAATGCGCCCTTTACCGAGAACTATGGAGTCCCCTTCCCAACATAAAACACTTTTTTGAGTCACTCCTAGGTGCAATTTTTTGTGGGCATTTGAGTTTTCACTAAAATTTTCTATTTCTTTTCCGCATTCAAATATTACTTGCTTTATTCCTATGGAATTTATGAGGTCCTCTCATTAGAGTGGCTTAGTTTAGCTGTCAAGTCTCTAGGGCATTCAATTGCAGATAAATGACTAAAACGTCAGCCTAACCGCATTTTTATTAACAGATGGCGGAAAACAAACGTCTTTGGAGAAGAACCGAAGGGAACGGGTTAAAGGGTCAATAAACAATTATTATCGTGTTTAAACCGGGGGTGGGGTGGGGTGGGGTGGGGGTGGGGAGGAGGGGCCCATCAGATTTGATGGGGAGTCGCTGACCCAATCCAGAGGAGCTGGGACTCCCCACCCAGCAGATTCCCGAGCATCCCAGGGACCACCCCCGAGGAGAGCTCCTGCGGGCTGCGGAGCGGTCCACCCACAGCGTCAGGGACTGCTTCTCAGCTCCGGGACCCAGGCTAATCGCGGAGAAAGCAGACTGGGGACACTAACTCGTGCAGCAGCCCGGGTCCACACCCTCGCAGGCCAGCGCGGAATTCACGTTATCAGGCTCCTTCGGCAAGGAATAATGGGGTCCTCTGTCCTGCTCAGTTGCTGCCCCCTCCTGCGAGTGAACTTTCTCTCCCGAGCAGAGCCGATTTCCTAGGCTTTCTCTCCCTTCCCTGGGCCACGCTCTGACGTGCGCACCATGTGACAGGCCCCCTTCTGCTATAAGCCGAGGAAAGGTCCGCCCTCTTCTGGACTCAGCCCCTGCCTTGCCGAGCTCGGCTGCTAGACTCTCACGCGTCCCGCGCCCTCTGGGCGCCCGACTCGCCCAGCCACTCCCTCCTTCACCGCCGGGCGAGGGCCCCTGGCAGAGGAGAAGGTCAAGTCCGCCGCGCCCGGCCGTGTGCGCACGGCGCCCGAGGAGCGCAGAAACCGCGGCGGCGCCGGAGTTGCGAAGCGGCAGCGCGAAGCTCCGCGGCAGCCCCGGCGGGTGCAGCTCCGGCAGGGGCGCGTCCCCAGCGTGGCGTCCCCGGGCGGGACCCGCCGCCCGGCACCCGGGCTAGGGGGCCGAGGGAGCCCGGAGTCCGGCGCCCCCATGCGCCGCCCCTCCGCCGCCGCGCCACAGCTATGACCCTGAGCACGGAGATGTCCGATGCCTCCGGCCTCGCGGAGGAGACAGACATCGACGTGGTGGGGGAGGGCGAGGACGAAGACGACGAGGAAGAAGAGGACGACGACGAGGGCGGCGGTGGCGGCTCCCGGCTGGCTGTCCCCGCACAGCGGCGGCGGCGACGGCGCTCGTACGCCGGGGAGGACGAACTCGAGGACCTGGAGGAGGACGACGACGACGATGACATCTTGCTGCCTCCGCGGACCGGAGGCTCCCCGGCGCCCCCAGGCCCGGCCCCGGCAGCAGGGCCCGGAGCCGGTGGTGGCGGCAGCGCCGGCGGCGGCGGCGGCGGCGGCGGTGGCGGTGGTGGCGGCGCTGGTGGCGGCGCCAAGAACCCGCTGGTGAAGCCGCCCTACTCGTACATCGCGCTCATCACCATGGCCATCCTGCAGAGCCCCAAGAAGCGGCTGACGCTGAGCGAGATCTGCGAGTTCATCAGCGGCCGCTTCCCCTACTACCGGGAGAAGTTCCCCGCCTGGCAGAACAGCATCCGCCACAACCTCTCGCTCAACGACTGCTTCGTCAAGATCCCCCGCGAGCCGGGCAACCCGGGCAAGGGCAACTACTGGACGCTGGACCCCGAGTCCGCCGACATGTTCGACAACGGCAGCTTTCTGCGGCGGAGGAAGCGCTTCAAGCGGCAGCCACTGCTCCCGCCCAGCGCGGCGGCCGCCGCCGAGTCGCTGCTGCTCCGCGGCGGCGCGGGACCCGCGGGGGACCCGGCGGCGGGCGCCTCGCTCTTCCCGCCCGCCCCGCCGCCGCCCCCGCACGCCTACGGCTACGGCCCCTACGGCTGCGGCTACGGCCTGCAGCTGCCGCCCTACGCGCCGCCCTCGGCCCTCTTCGCCGCGGCCGCCGCTGCCGCCGCCGCCGCCTTCCACCCGCATTCGCCCCCGCCGCCCCCGCCGCCGCACGGCGCGGCCGCCGAGATGGCCCGGACCGCCTTCGGCTACCGGCCGCACCCGCTCGGCGCCGCTTTGCCCGGCCCCCTGCAGGCCTCGGCCGCCAAGGCGGGCAGCCCGGGCGCCTCGGCGCTGGCGCGCTCGCCCTTCTCCATCGAGAGCATCATCGGCGGCAGCCTAGGCCCTGCCGCCGCCGCCGCCGCCGCTGCCCAGGCCGCAGCCACCGCCGCGCAGGCCTCGCCGTCGCCCTCGCGGTGGCGGCGCCCCCTGTGCCCGCACCCGGACCTGGTCCCGGCCCCGGTCCCGGCGGCTGCGCGGTGCAGGCGGCTGTGGGCCCCGCCGCCGCGCTCACTCGCTCGCTCGTGGCCGCCGCCGCGGCCGCCGCCTCCTCCGTCTCGTCGTCGGCCGCCCTGGGGACGCTGCACCAAGGAACTGCCCTGTCCAGTGTGGAGAACTTTACTGCTAGGATTTCAAATTGTTAATAACGCTATGGTAGCGCGCGTGCGAGAGCAGGTAGGAGCCCCGGCTCAGCGGGTGGGGTGAGTGGGGTGGCGCGTTCGCTCCTCCCCGCCCGACCTGGCGCGCTCATTCTCACTTTCTCCGCTTCGGATTCCCGGACCAGACTGTGTAGGGCGACAGCGCGACCCGGCCTGTCCCCCTATTTATGCAAAATCGTCCTATGCTGCAGCCCTGGCCCCGGGCTGGGGGGAGAGAGAGGGTGCGGGAGGGGGCTCGCCCGCTCTGGGCACCAGGGGCTTCCTTGACTTTGGCAAATAAATGCAAACTCAAAAAACAAAACAAACAAACAAACAAAACCAAGCCTTTTTGAGGTGTAGAGATTCTCAGGTCCAGGCGTTTATTATTATTTTTTTTAATCAGTAAGGTTCAAATGAGGGATAATTCAAAAAGTCTCGGAGAATGCCTTTTATTTGAGGACACTTGTCTGGTGTGCTTTTTCACGAAAGAAAAAAAGATTAACATGTTTACATGAGAAACAAAAGTCAGAGTTACCATTTCTTATTTTAACCTGTGTTTTGTATCATAATAGACACGCGGAATTTTTATTTTGTACTTAACTGCGTATTCTTTACAAGGAGTATTGTAAATTTTACTGGCAATTATTATTGTACTATTCTAATGTAAGATTTTTACACTTTTTCAGAAATAAAGTGCTTAATTTTCAAAAAAAAAAGCCACCAGAGTAATTGGCTTCAGTTGTCCCCTTCTAAGTTTATTTTCTTTTCTGTAAAGAACAAATTTCCATGTGGAATAAGTATGAACAAAATAGGCTTAATTATAATTTTCAAAGATAACTTAGCAAAAGCATCAAGCTATAGTTTTTCACTTAAATTTCCCAAGTCAAACCATCACAGGAGATCAGAGCTTATTTTTAAGTGACCACAGGGAAAGATGTTACTTTGATACGAATTTCCAAGTCTGACCATTCCATTTTAAAGATTACTGAGACATTTTAAAAATTGAAGCCATAGCTTTATAGGAATTTAAATTTTTATTTTTGAGTTTCCTACTTTCAGCACAATATTGTTGTAAGTGCAAAAATGTTACAACACAATGTTTTTATATTGTAATGGAAGCAACATAAGCAAAGAGAGTTCCTAGATTAAATTTTGAATAGGAGAATTAATAGACAATTTAAAAGCTTTAAAGTCCCAGGTACACAAATATTTGCAGATAAACAAATTATATTAGAAAATTCTGTTTAAAGTTACTATTTTTGAGATGAAAGTGTTCTCCATAATTGCGTAAATGAGTTTTTATCTTTAAAGGCAAACTTATTGAAATTCTAGCTTAAATGAATAACAAGAGTAAGTGAAATCTTCAACTTTAGTATAGTTACTTTAATTCTTGGTTTAAAGAATTAAAAATTAAAATGCATTATATGTTTATTAAATTAATTATACAATTTAGGTAGCTGGGATGTCTTTTCAAGTATTAAGTCTTTTATTGACTACTTAGTGCATGCAATTTCTAGTTTGACAAAACTGAGACTAGTTTTGATGATTCCAGATGTTCTAGTTGTGAGATGTAAGTACATGAAGGCATATGTAGTTCCCAGTTTGAATGCCTGATCTCAATGGCTTGCAGTGGAAATTAAGCCTATTTATTCAATATCTTTAAAATGTCTGGACAGGCATATGTGTATCTGAAGAGCTGCAGATCTAACGTACCAAATTAGTGAGGTCTGCATTATAGGCCCATATTATACATGACACTCAGCCTCATTCCATATGATGGAGAGACAAGACTGCCCCTCAGCCTCAAAATGAAGTTCTGGGTTTTTTCCTATGAGATGTGTGGAAGTTCAATAAGAGGTTAGAGTAAACACGCTCACCCTCAAACTTACCGCTAAATATATAGCTACAAATTGACATACTGTTAGACGAAAATCATCTATGCAAAAGTTCCTTGTACCCTAGGCCAGCTAAAAGAGGAGACCCTGAGCCTGAGAACGTCTGGATGTCACGCCCGAGGTGCAGAGACTTTAGCAGGAGGAATTCAAACGGCACAGACACTGCTGGCATGCCTGGTAGCCTTCTCTGAAGCATAGACCTGAAATGTAGATCTGAAGGTAATTACGAGAACAGCCACCAACGGAACTGTGGTGGCGTTCCCCTCACCCACCCACGATTGCGTGGATGTCCCCGAAAACGGAATCCCGGCTAAGCCCGCACCTTTAAGAAGTGGCTTGGCGAGCTCCCCACTCCGGCTGCCAGTGCACATAAGAGAATGGCCAGAGGCCCTGGGTGACCTGGCGCTGGTCCCCCTAGGGCTTCCTCCTCCCCCAGGTTTTGGAACAAGTAGAGCTGCAGAGCCCCTGGGCCATAAGAAAGGGCAAACCCGGTCGTCTGCGTTTCCAGACAGCTTCCCGCCAGTTCGGTTCCCTAACGCTCCGGGTTCGGGTCTCACCCTCGGTTTTGCTGATCCCGCGGGTCTGATCGGAGGTGCGAGGTATGGGCGTGAGAGGGGCGGGCAGTGGGCCGCTCGGCGAGGGCCGCGAGGTCGGCCAGGGTGAGGAGTGGGCCGTGGACCGGGGCCGGGCAAGCCGGGAGCGCGGGGCGCACCCAGCCGGGCCGCGCAGGCGAGCAGGTGCTGGAACAAAGGCCGCCCGGCCGCCTGGCTACGAAGGCCTTTGATGGGCCAGGACATCTCCTCCTGGGGCTCTTCATTCGCATGCAAATCCAGCGCTGGTCCCCTTTTCTTTGAAGGCAAACAGAAGGATGTTTGTGTGTTTGTAGGGACGAAGCCTGCTTGAACAAGCCTTTCCTCAATAGGCTGGGTCTCGAAAAATAAACCAGTTGGACAAACATTGGCCACCAGCTCTCCTCCTCCCAACTACAAAGTGTGGATTTGCTACAACTCATTAACCCGACGCTTTTCTCCCCTTCTTCTTGTTTCTCTACTCATCAAACGCCCCCGTAGAGCCTGGAGACAAATGACCGAAGCGCAGTCAGGAGGGAATTGCAGTTAATAGGGAGAGGGATATATTAGGGCTAATGGTTCAGGCAGCTCCCGGAGAAGGACCACACAAAAAGGAGCCTCTCCATTCAAACTCTGTTGTGCTGCGGAGATTTAATCTGCAGCTAGATTTAGCCAAATGTTATCTCTTGCGGGGGTAATGAAGCCCTTATGGATTGAATTGCTCCTTGTACCACACATGGTGTCATGACCTTAGACTGTTTCTTGGTTGATTTCTTTCTTCTCTCTTGGGTAATTGTTTTATTTCTTTAAAATTAAAAGCTAGTGCTTCTACTCAACAACGTGTTTCCTCTCCAACCCCATCTGAACATTTAAGAACCACTTCCTTTCCTAGAAAGAAAGAAACCGAAAGGGAGAGAGTGAAAAAAAAAAAAAGAACAGAAAAGAACAGAGAGAAGTAACAGGAGAAGAAGAAAAATAAAAACCCCACTTTTAATTTGCGTAAGCATCTTTCTGTTTACTCAGCTCTTCTCTGTGCCTGTTCTTCTGCCCTTCTCGAACCTTCTGTTGATGGAACAGAATTTTGAATATATTTATTATCCAAACTCCTACAGAGAGTGTTGAGTATATATCTCAGGGAAGGCTTCTGCCTTTTTCTCTCTGACTCTCTGTCTCTCTGTCTCTGTCTCTCTCTCTTCCTCCCTTCCTTCCTTCCTTTCTCTCTCTCTCCTCCTCCTTCTCCTTCTTCCTTCTTCCCTCTTCCTTCTTTTTCTTCCTTTCCTCTTCTTTCTTCTTTTTTTTTTCCTGTAAATCCATCTTGTCTTCTTGTAGCCAGTCTGCTTGGAGAACTGGGGGAGATGGTCACTCTTATGGAAGGTGATTATTTTGATGGAATACCATCCTGTGTCATTAAAGGCTGTCTGAGGCCAGTGGTTGAAGCTGTGCCTGTTTTGTTTTTCTCCCTTTTGCCCTGGTGGCTCTGATTTCCTTGCTTGACACAGGACTAAGCTTGGAGCCGCTAAAGGTGTTATTACAACTGCTATTGACGTGTAGGAATCTGATTCTACTTCCCAAAGCCAGGAATCAAGGTTATGATTTTGAAAAATCTCTGCTGGCTATACATTCTGCTCACCTGTTTTTATTACTGACTGAGAAAAGTCACTTGGGGGCAACTTAAAGAGCCTATCAGTGTCAAATTCAGCACAAGTCAGAAACTGGGCCAGAAACAGCCTTGGTATATAGGGCTCTTTGTGGAGGTGGGGAGGAGTAGGGGGTGGTAAGGGGGCAGGTAATTGGAATGCCAGGGAGTTCTCCCACCCCCCTTTAGAAGTGAAGCAGACAGGGATGGGCCTGGGGAGCAGCATTGTCCGTATTCATTCTGGTCTCTGCTGGCTTCCTGGTGGTGCAGCTGAGTCATGCATATACACACAGGCATGCACACTCATTGCCCATCAGCTGCCACTTGCCTCCCTTCTCCCCTATGATTTTGTAATTAGACATATATTTTTTTTTTTGGTAAATGTGTTTGATGTCATGGCCAGTGAAACGTGGTGTGTTTATAGGGCTACGAATGTAAATGTGTAAATATGTTTAGTGTAAAATCTGGCCCTTCGACTTTAGCAATAAATACCCTGCCAACTCGGATACAATTACATTTGACAGAAAGATGGAGAATCTGATCGTGACCAGCTGCTCAGGGCTGTTTAGGGCTTATACTTTCCCAACTGAATTCACTGTTCAGATAATTTCTCTCATGTCACATCTCTCTAATCACATCTTTCCCTTGATGTGAACAGCTTGGACTGCTTTCTTTTTATTACTGACCCCTGTAGCATGCAGGAAACTTCCTGGTTCATTCCTGCAGCTTCTTTGCCAGGGAAATCATAGTCAGTGACAAGCAGAGGACCCAGGAGAAGACAATGGACAGCGATCATTTTCTGTGAGTCCTGAGCCTTCAGGTGTGAAGTGAACTAAAGAATGTAAATTATGAGTTCCTGAACCATATTTGTAAATTTCCTCATAATTACACAATTTTTAAAAACTG